CTGCTCTCTTCTCCCAGCTCCCACCCTCCCAGCACCTTATGGAGAGAAGAAGTAAATCCTCTACCTTACAACTGCAACAATGAAGTCATCGGGTCCCATGACAAGAACCTGGCTGGCAGCGGGTCCGCTCTCCGTGGAGAAGTGAGGCGTGTGGAGGTCAGATGAGAAGGACTGGGAGTCATTAATCAGCTGGCGCAGGGAATTAGCTTCTGATTTACTTCAGCAGTGACAGAGGGTAAGAGGAAAGAAAGCCATGAGCCTAGGAAGCTGAACACCTCTTGGTCTCTCTCTACACAGCTACTGACCGTGTGTCCCTGAGGGCACTGAGGACAGAGAGCTCTTTCTGTTCACCCAATAGAGGGAGACAAGAGGGCCCAGCCCTCACAGAGAGGCAACCTCCCAGGCTCTGTCTACAGAGATGGACAAGCGGTGGCACCACCCGGCTGAACACCAGTCCTCCAGGAGCAGGGCAAGTCAGGTCCAGCCCTGGCCACCAGCAGTGGTGAAACCTGGCTCTGCGGTGGGAGGCTGGGCTGAACCCCAGGCCTGACCTCTCCCACGTGTCTGGGGTTCTGCGAAGGCACCGACTCCGCCGTGGGGAAGGGAGAGCCAGGAACTGCTCGTGTGGTCATGACCACATGAGTGGCTCTTTGTCCAACCTGATGAGAACAATATTTAGAGGGGTGAGAAATTGGGAGGAACCCTCACGATCAAGCTGGCTCCAGGAAACCTGCGTGTGAAGACATCCCATGACCCGTCCCCAGAGCCTCATGGTATCAGCTGTGAGCCCCGTGGAAGAGTAAGCTCTAGGAGGACACTGCAGGACTGACCTTTCCTCAGTCAAACAGGGACAGAAAAACCTCAGGTACTGAAAAGAGCAAATCCAGGAACGATACCCAAACCACGCATCTTGAAACTGTCACCATGCCTGTCAGCCTCAGACCTACCTCATCATGCTTTCTGCAGTGTGAGCGATGGATGCATCATCAGATGGGTCTCCCAGGTTGCTAGCTAGAGTCAGGGCTATTTTTAATGTCTGAAAATAGAAAGATTAAAAGACAGAATGAAAAAAAAAAGAAGAGAGAGAGAGTGGGAGAGGGCAGGGGAGGGGAGAGAGATGTAGGCGGCCCCAGAATATAGCTCTTGATACTCCAAACTAGAATTTGGTCTTCTGGCAAAGAAAAATGTCTAAAAGCCTGGTCCTGAGGACAGTGCAAAGGGCTGCCACACGTGGGTATGGGGACCAAAGGACATCAGTTTGGCACTGCGAACCCTGTGCTGGGGGAGCCAAAGGTATCCAGCAGTTTGTGCCTGGTGGAACATGCCTGGCAGAAGCTGGCTCAGCCCAGCTCAGCGGGTCAGCTCGCAGACAGGGCCACTAGGATGCCACTTGAGTGGTCACCACAACAGCAGAGATCACATTGAATCTCAGTGGGGCAGTGGGTTCTGGGATTGCCATTGCCTCTGGACGGCAGCTCCATGAGCAGAGCACCTCTGCTGAGCAGAAGTGAGCTACTCTGCTCACCAGCTGCTACCCATGTTCCCAGCTGTAAGTCATCTGAAATGTTTGAAGAGAAAGCATTAGTGCCAGCACACTTCATGAAATGACTGTGTAAAAAGAGGAATGGATCTGGTTTCTCACACATGCAGAATCCTGCCAAAGCCAGTCCATTAAAAACAGGAAGATGCAATTTCGAAAAACACAGTTTATCCAGCCCCGGTCTTCCAGTGCGCAGCCAGAGAACAGCCACAAGGAGAAATGTGCTCTTCAGTCAAGCCAACTTGTGCCTTGCAGATCACACCATTTTCACCCAAGAGCCAAGCAGTGCACTACTCTGGAGGCAGAGGTAGACAGCTAGACCTGGCTTCTGTTTCGATACGTGCCGTGCATCAAGAGCTTCTCCTGAGGTGTCATCATTTATCTTCTGATGTACAGTGTAGAGCACAGTAACTCCTGGAGAAGCCTGACCACCACATCATCTGGAGGATGCAGGGGCTTGGTGGCCAAGGAAGAGCTCTGCTGAAAGAGTCAGACCACGTCTACTGCACAGGCACACGCTAAGGACATCTCGGTCAAGGCTGCCCCAGGGCTGGACCATCTGGTGCTGACCTAGCACTGAACCTCAGCCATGTGTGATCCCAAGTAATCAGGGTTACACACCTTCTGAAGTGGCTGCCCTTTAGCTGTTCCTCAGCCGGGACATGAAAACCAGTGAGTGAAACTCTTGGCCTGGTGCAAATACAGAGCAAACAGATTCATCCAAAGCTTCCTGAAGGGAGCTCAAAAATAACTTAGGTGAGTCAAACTTCTCTGCCTCTGCACAGGCCTTGCAGCATGTAACAACCCCAATTGTTGCATTTTTGCTGAGAGGCAATAATTTCCAAGCCCCCATTGTCCTCCCTGCTACAAGGATGCAGTTACATCTCTGTTTAAGATTCCCAACTTGTAAAATCCAGCTGAGGAGCTGTTAAGCATATAAGAACTTAATTGCCTATAGAGCAGGAAAGGGAGCACTTGCTTCACTTCCTGAGAAGCAGCAACATTTTGGTAGTGCTGGCCCTAAATACTGGAAAAATCATAATCTGGACCACGGAGATCATGAGGCGGGCTACAATGTAAAGATTTTTTTTAAAAAAAAAAAGGCAACATGAAGTGCAGGATTAGTTTTCCTTGTCAGTACCACACACAGGTTTTTGCTTACACCATCATGCTGCTGACTCTCCTCGCAGCGCCGCAGCACCGCTCCAGTATGGCCAGGGCTACTGGAGCATAAGGGGTGGAAAACATGTGTGGAACCACCCTCAGGTGCTGTGGGGTCTTCTGAAGAGATGGTCACGTAGACGAAATGGGCAAACCCCACAGTTTGTTCTTCTGGAAAAGCTCTGCCGAAGCAAGAAGGAGCTCAGCCAAGCAGGAGGCCTCAGCATCTGCAGCTACCTGAGGCAGCAGCACAACTCAGATTTACACCTTAGCAGCCTATTTATTTGCTCATTCTCCTGTGGGAATTATCTACAAACATTTTTACACAACCAAGGGATAGATAAAGGACTCTCTAGAAGCACAGTCAACTGTTGAGCTTCCTCTTACCTCTGCTATCCAGTGCAAGATATTCCCTCTGGATACTTGACTTGTGATGTTAAAGCCCTCAAGGATGTTCAGGGCTGTGATCAGTGCAGGACCTGCATGTGGAGGTGGGGGGCTGAAAACAAGGTGACCTGCGAAGAGAAGAAGGGAATGAAGCTGCTTTTGTCAAATACCATCCAGTTATAACACTTGCCCATAAGCTAGTCTCTTTGAGGACAGCAAAACCTGTCCAGATCTGAGGGGAAGCAATGGAAAGCAACATGATTTAAAAAGGATTTCTCAAAACATTCCTGTTACAGCTTTCTGTTTCTTTATGATGGATGAAGCAAACCCAAACAAGGATGCTTTTTTTACATCCGACATTCAGTCCCTCTTGGTTGGCTGGTTGGTTTCTGGACTGCTGTATGGAAGAATGGAGATAAAATGCATTTGCAACATTGCAGGAATAAGGAGGGTAAACACGGGGATTTCTAGAAAAGAGTAACATTTTAGAAACTTCTTGCATAAAGGTTTTCTCCCCTGCAGATCAATTTTGGGAACTGTCTTCAGATGTAGATGCTAGCCTACGGTCCAGACATTGCATCAATATCTGATCACGTTGCATCTTTACCCTCTAACACTATGAAAATACCACTGGTTGTTATCAGGGAAACAAAAGCCCTGTTACAAAGTGCTGAGAGCCTCCTGAACTGCCTGTGATGCAGAAGTACCAGCAGGCTACAGCAGCAAATGCCCTGGAGGGCTTTTCTGCAGAAGCGTCGGTGCAATTCTGATTTCAACTCTGGTTAAATAGTCGCCACCTCTTGCCAGGTGAAGCAAACTTTTAATTGGACTTGCACGGTGATGGGTCAAGCGTTTACCTCGATAGACTGTGTGGACAGGATTCTCCACCGTGACACTGTAATTGTGGAAGTCTTCCTCCACCAAGACTCCTCCGTAGTTGTGGACCTGCGTAGAGGAGCAAAGCAGAACATGCTGAGAAAGCTGGGTCAAGGCTTTCTCTGTTCCTCACGCCGGCCCAGGTGAACACACATCCTGCACTGAAATTCACGAGTGAAGTGCCAGGTTCCTCAGGATACCCTGAAAATCTTATTTTCATGGTCTTGGTGGCCTGGCTTGTCACCCACCACTGCTGGAAGGCTCTGCAGCTCACCTCCCAAAGCTCACCCACTCCATGGGTGTTCTGAGGATGTTCTGCCTCCCCATGAGGGTGGGGACTGGCACTGCCTCACAGCTTTCTCTCCCCTCGGTGGCAAGCACAAACACGTTAAAGGTTTCGAAGCATCTGAATATTGCCAGGATAAAAATATAGAGAGAGCCTGGAGAGTGGGAACATGGGTGTAGCAGGTTGCCAGCACTGAAAATCTTCAGCATACAATTCCCACCCTATTTTTAATTATTTCAGGTGAGAGCAGGTTTGTTGTACCCTCGATCTTTCTGTAAGACTCTCCTAGAGGTACAATTTATAGGGCTTTGTAACTTTCTTGAACACAGTAAAGATGGGTAATTCCCTCCACTGCAGGTCTTCTGCACTTGTGTCAGGATGGACACGAGGTAGGACCATCATAACCGCACTCTGCTGATCACAGGTAATACTCGGTCGGCGTACAGGTGTGCTGGGCTCATGGGCAACTCTTCCTTCCAGGAGAAGCGGCACAACCTGGTGAGAGGTTCTGCTGGGAGGAGTTGGTGTTACGAATCCTCTGGAACTCCATCCAATAAACGGGCAAGAACAAATAACCTGTGCATGCTCTGTTTCTAAACTATCTGGCTAACTTGGCAAGGAAAACTCATTCTCCAGCAGAAATGGATGAATCACTGGAGCACGAAAGGCAATGCAAGGCACAGTGTGGGGGGTAGCATGTCAAACCACCCCGAAACTGCAAAAGAAGATGTATCCCCTACTCAGGATCCTGGCCTCCTCCCCAAAGCAGCCCCGGAGAAGAGGCCAGGTGGAAGCCGAGGACTCAGGTGAGCAGGCAGGTGCCTGTGCTCCCTGGCAGGAGCTGCCTCCCTGAAGCTCAGCCCTGGTAAAGCAGCGGGGACTGGGGCAGCACAGAAAGGGGAGAAGCCCTGCTCAGCCACGTACAGCTCAGATTGCCCAGAGAGCACGTTTTTGCACCCGTGCCTTCCCGCGAAGGCATGGAAACAAAAGGTAGGGTGTTTGGGAGCTGGATCTCACCACATCGATAGCCTCTCTTTGCTGGAACAATAAACACCGCTGGGAGCCAGCCCTTTCCTCTGCAACCAAAGCTGGGATTGCGCACGTGATCCCAGAGCTTGCCAGGCTCTTTGCTGGTGTAACCCTGGGCCCTGCTCCTCCACAGGGAGTTTGTGCTTCCCTGTGGCAGCCCTCGGGTCAGGGGAACAGGGTGACAGAGCAGGTTTAGCTGTGGAGATGCACCACAGTTTGGGACTTTCCCGGCTCCTCATTCTGCACCTCTGCTGTGGTCCAGGCAAATGGTAGGAGATTTCCAAACACAGAGCTCACAAATGTCTAAGGCTTGAGCTGAACGAACCCATTCCAGATTACTAATATCTTGTTGGTGCATCACTTGAACCACAGTGGTAGAGAAAAATGGTATCACCAACCACTTTGACTGCAGATACACAGGTATAAAAGTTGTTTTGGCTTTCTTACCAGAATTACTTTGTTTGTTGTTGGTATTTTTTCCAGCACAACTCTAAAAACAAGAGTTAAACTGGGGCATCCCTACGTGGGATCAAGTCTGTCTGATCCTCTGCTCACAAGGCTCACAGTTTTATTTTTAAACCATCTTCCTGGAGTCTGTATCTTAACAGTGCCATTATCAACAAAAATTGGCTTTTTCAACAGCCTCTTGCTCTTGGAAAAAGGGGTTGTCACCAATACTAACACAGTCCAGAGGGGGTACTGAAATTGAGAGTTTTGTTTTTCCTCCCAGAAATGGAGGCTTCACTTCTGTAGGCTGTGGAAGTGACTATTTGTCACCTACACCACTGCAGTGACAGGGATAGGAAAGTAAAAGAAGGCTCCACGCATTTAACCCCATCATTGTGCTGACACTTGGCCATGGCTTATCTCCAGGCTGTCACCTTAAGCAGGTGACACGGCTGGTGGCACCCCCAGCCCAGGCTGCGCCGTGGGGTCTGGGGCAGAGACAGGGACAGGCATGGCTCACCTCGGAGATTATCTCCTGTGTCAGGTTCCCGCTGTAGAAAGCTGACACTCCTTCTGCCCCCAGCAGCTCCAGGACGGCCGCCAGGTCCGGGCGCTTCATGAACATGCCAGGCAGCACGGGCTGGCCGTCCGGCAGGAAGACCTCCCGAAATTTGTCAGAGTAGTTCAGGTCCTTCAGCTCACTTACGGCTTTGGCTGTGGGTGAGAAGAGGAATCACAGAATCACAGAATGTTGGGGGTTGGAAGGG